ATTTTTAATTGTTAATTTTTAAATTTTAAATTGAATTGTTAACTTTTAAAATTTGAAGTTATATGAAATAACTAGTTTGCAAAATCAATACTTCTAAGGGAAACAGTAAAGTATGTACTTAGTGTAAAAAAATACTAGATGAACAAGCTTATAATATGTCTTAACATACTGGGAAAAAATTATATTCTCTGAAAGAGAAGTAAAAGTACTTCTGAACCAACAAAAATCATTTAGGATTTAAAAATACAAATTTAATGGGTTATATTGTCTATTTTGCTCACATGATTTGATCCAGATTTTAAAAAATAGATGCTTTAACATAGGTTAAATAGTATACACATTTTTCCCCTGTAGAAAGTCTACTTTTATATAATATAAAAATGTGAAGATAGCATAAAACATTGAACAACACTATCTGATGAAGACTGTGGCTTTAAAGTTTATTTCTTTAATATAAATTTTATTGATGTCTTTTGTTTGTGTCTATATCTCCCACTATATTCCATCTTCTCCCAGAAAGTCATCTCTTCTAATGGAGAATTAAAAAAAGATAGAAAGAAAAAGGAGGTGTAGGGAGAAGTAACATGAAACCAACACATAGAAAATTATGACATTACATGTAGTGTTCCACAATATGGTTCCCACTTTTACAAAGTAGTAGGGAGAGCATAGAAACTCCTGTTCAAGATAGCTGAGTGAATAGGAACAAAATAGCCCAATTCCAATACAGGTATTCTAGAAAAGGTAAAACAAAAAAGTGCCAGACTGAATAATGATCAAGAAAGAAAAGGGGAAACTACATTAAACAGCATTATCCAGCCTGAATCAGCAAAAAATCCCCAAAAACAAACAAACAAAAACCAGAAGCCTTAAGGAAGGATCCAAACACCCAGCCAGAGAAGCCAGGTTAAGCCAGATAAATTTTCAGATACCTTTCAGTTTGGATAACATCTCAGAGTGCTCAGGAAGCCCCAGGGTAGTCATGCATACCCTATTTCAGACCCAATGATGAGAAGACTGGAATTCAATAATGAGCAAGCACTGAGGAAGTTAAGCACCCTCTGGGGTAAGCTCTGGAGCTGGAGGGCAAAGTTCCTACCAAGAAGGCACTGGCCTCTTCATCCAGAGAAAGAAGTATACAGATAGGTAAGTAGATAGATAGATAGATAGATAGATAGATAGATAGATAGATAGATAGATAGATAGATAGATAGACAGACAGACAGACAGATAGACAGACAGATGGATGAATGCATTATAGATATACACACATATATGCATGTATGTGTATGTGTGTATGTGTCTAATGGTAGCCATCTCTAGGGTGACGTGGGAGGAATAAAAAAAGAAATTGACATGATAATTTTGTTACATATTTGAAAGGAATAGCAAGTTGTACATAGTAGATTTACACTTTCATATGCAATCACCTTTTTATTATACTATGTTATGGAAATGCTTGCTTTATTCCATAAATGAAAAATATTTTTTAAAAAGGCATTCATCTGAATACCCTATGGGTTATAAAAGTTTGTAACAAGCTGACATGAGCTATCCTAGGGTAATCAGGTTAGCTGGTAACAGCCAGCATAGCAGAAACCAACAAGAGAAAGATACAGATAGATAGCTCTAGAGAACATAGATTAGGACCAAATAAGAACCCATCAGCTCGTTTAAATGTACAAGAGTATTTCGATCCTGACCCTGGTAAAAAGTCCAATTTCAGGAAGTAAAACTGGAAATGTGAATAAAAGACACTGATAAATTTTTATGAATCCAATTATTTCCAGGTCCTAAGTCAAGTAACAAAATAACTCCATAGTAAGTACAGGAAGAACTTCAGATAAAGGTATGGTGTGGTCACAAGGTCCATTAGAATTTCTAAAAGAAATGAAGGAAAAGATAAAAAGGATGTTATAAATTATGTGTGATGTCTAAAGATGAGAATTGTAAGGAGAATAAACAGCTTAGACAAGAGGTATAAAATCATACTCAGATTATAGACTTCCTGAAAATCAAAATGGATGAGAGAGAAATTAGTAACTCCATGAAATAAGAAATGAGAGAACAAAATTAAAAGACTGGAAAATAAGATATAAAGTGCCTCCTATCAAAAATAACTGAACTAGAAAATGTCAAGAAGAGATCATGTAAGAATTATTAGAATACCTGAAAACCACCACCTGAAATCCACCATAAGTAGATACCATATTTTAAGAAATATTAAAGAATAAGACATAACTCAAATTTCAGTTCAAGAACTATCTTTTTTAAGAGGCTTTTCTGAATCATCCCATCTGCTAATGACTTCTGCCACAAGATTACTTTTACCTTTGTTTTACAGAAGCTTCTGATATAACTATAGAGAACCATATAGTCTTTCCCATAAGGATGTAGGCATTGAAGTGGTAGGGAACATGTCATTTTAAATGCTTTATGATTTAATGATTGGTCTTGCTTTAAGATAGTAAATGTTTAATTGTAAATGAATACAAATGCCTTTTTTAAAGAGTAGTAAGCTGATTGTAGGATGAGGTTTATATTTTTCTTCAAGTCATTTCTTGTTTTCTTAAACAAAAACTTATAAAAACTTTACTCTTAGGCTTTTTAGGTTTTTTTTTTTTTGCTTTTGTAGTTATTGATGTGAGGAATGTGATTTTAGTTACTTTCAAATTTTTGTAATGTTTAAATAGACAGCTAAATTAGTTTTACTATTATAAAAGGAATGATTTTAAATGGGCAATAGGTGTATGTCTTTCTTCTGATAGCTTGAAAATATTTTTTCTTTATATTTATATATAGTTCTGAAGTTTAAATATATTGTTAGGAGTGTTGAATTTTGAGTTTTTTCTTCTTAGTAGCTGTAAAATATTGTTTTAATTAGTCCTGGGAAGTTTCCTTGAATGATTTCTTAAACATGGTGGTCACATTCTTTTCTAATTTTATATTTTCAATAATGCCAATAATTCATAAGGCTTTCCTCTCCTTAAAATCCTTAATCAAATCTGTCATATTCAGATGAATGTGCACTGATTCCCAGAATTCTTTTCATTTACTCCATTTTCTAAGATTATTTCCAATTCAACTGCACCATATACCATTCTGTTTTCTACTTTAATTTGGCTTTTTGTCCCCTCCATTGACATTTTCAAATTTTCTGTGATCATCTCTATTTCACTTAGTTCTGTCATTATCTTCTCAACATTTTAATTGACATTCAGTTTTTTTTAATTATTCCTGCGATGTTTGGGCTTTAAGCCATTCTTTTACTCATTCTCTATATTTTTTAACATAATTTCAGTTCTTCCTTTAATTCCTTGAGAATGTTTATTATATTTTAATTGCATTTCTTTACATTTTTGATTGTTTCTGATATTACTTCTAAAATTGTTTCAATCTCACATTTTCTGGTATTATTTTTGGTTTTATTTATTTTGCTCCTCTTTCTTGTGAATTTTAATTTTATTGAGGTAATTTTTGAAAATTTTGTACCTTTTCAGTGTTTCTTCTATTACTGTAGAGGGAAACCATAAGAAGTCAGGCTTCCTTGTAACCTCATCTTCTTGGAAATTTTTGATTCTCTTAAGTAGACAATGCATTTCCCTTTTATGTAAGCAAAATTGTATTTTATTTTGAAAATAATAATGATGATAATATGGAAGTTTCCTATTAAGTACAAGTGGAGCATAAAGGAATAAAAAACTTCAGGCATATTCCACTACTTAACATGTATTTGAAAAACAATAACAAGGGATTTCAATATATTTTCATTGACATCATTCTTAGAACTCTTGGTAATTTTGTTTAATTACATTTCACAGCCATTGACATTCTGATCCAGATAAACTTCCAGAGACTAGACATGACCACTGGAGTGTCAGAAGAAGACAATAAGGATTTAGAAAAGCAGTCATTTAGTAGCAGGGAGATCCAAGAATAGGAGATATAGGCAGATGTTTCATCAGGAAGACAAAATATAGCATTAAGGAGGTCTGAAAGTAGGCAACAAAAACCAAGCCATGGTCAGAGTCAGCACTCTTAGAGAGCTGGCCAGAGATTAAGGAGAATCTCTATTCTTGAAGAACTAAGGTACTAAACATGAAACCAAATCAGGAATTGATACTTAAAATACTAAGACCTAATTACTAGAAGTAGAGTACAAAATTGAAGCTTAATGATATGACAAATTTAAATTCAATTAGTCAAAGTCAAACTCAAGATTCTACAACAAACTGATTTGATGTTAGGCACTTAATTATGGATCTTTATAATTCTCCTTCTTAAAATCTAGATTGATGCATAAACTGAGGTAGAGGTTAGCCTGCAAGTGAAGCTTAACCAGCCCTTGTTCTTAAGACCATAAAGATAATGAAGCAGAGAGGCCTGCCATCATTTTTGCTTTATTCAAAATGCTATATAAACTGTGAACAACAAAATTTTTAACCTCCAAGATAGGGTAAGAATTATTTCTCTAACAAGAAACTCCTAGCATAGAAATCTTTTTCTTCCTTATCTCACTCTGAACTTTCCCCTCTAGAGAGGCATAGAAACAAGAAAAATGCCAATACTAATTTATTTTTCATTTTTCATACTAGGTGACCAACATGTTAAGCTCTTAGTGCCACAAGTTCAAGAAAAACAAAAGAATAGCATGCTTTAAAAATTAATACCACCCAAATATATTGCTGTTCTTGAATCTATTTTAAAGTGACAGGCATGTATTTAAATGTTTATCTCATTAGCTTATAGCTATTATACCTTATGTCAAAAGATAAGAAAACAAAGTTTAATAGGAAAAATTGGATCCTGAAGATTTAGAAAGCAATTAAAATTATACAAACTCAGAATTTTCAACTACAAATATTTTTCTCTAACGTTATCCTTCTGTGATAATGACTACAGAAAATTTGATTTTGCCCAAACTATCACAAAAATGACTAAGTCTTTTGGATTTGGTGTACTGTGAATCTATTCTGAGTTCAATGACATCAAAGACTTACCCCCTCCTCCTCCAAGAAGGCTGGCATTTGCTGTTAGAAAAGAATAAGAATGACAGTAAATACAACAAATTCAAACCAGGACAAAACAAGAAAAAGCTGAAATTTAATAAATCTCATATATTCATATATAACAATCATAAGAATACGTATATCGATATAAATATATTACATAAATATATGCATGTAATATTTAGTCATCATTTTCCATTATACTGTGAAGAAAGATCTTCATTTTTTCATTTTTCCCCAAGTGACCACTCTAAAAAAAAATAGGGGCATGTTCAAAACTCTTTAGTCTGCCCTTTCTAGTCAAATTGATCTTCACTATGTTCATTTTGCAGACAATACTACTTAGACAATTCTGATGATTTTTTAAAAAAACTAAGCTTAAATGTGTATCATTTAAAATGATAATGTAAACCTTATAATTTCAAATATTGTAAGACACTTCAAAATAAGAATTCTTGACACTAAAAGTACAAGATTTATTATATTCTGAAGAAACATATTTTTAAATATCAAAGACAAAAGGTCCCCAAAATTCTACTCTATTGTCTCTTCATATGGAGGAGACTGTGGATTCTAGAAGGTCATATCAGACAGGTGCAAGCTTTGGCAGGTGTAAGGCATTCAGTACAACCCATCAATGGACTCTATGTGTGCTGTCCAAAGACAAGACAAGCCAAGTTTGGAGAAAGTAATCACCAGAGTGGCTGGAAGGAGATGAATTTTTCAGTTATTGGAATGCTTAAAGATTATCTTCTAGGTTGAGGGAAGATTGAAATTATGTCCTTAATGTATTTTATATTTACTTTCTTAAAGTGTTGAAGTAAAAACAAATATATAGACTTGTTTGTACATGTCATGCTGCTACAGAACCTACTTTATTGTTTCTCAGGCACTGTATATCAATTAATTTAATATATGAAATATTTCTATAATATGATTAATAAGCTCAAGACATCAAATAAAAACAATTCTATTATATGCTTTTTGAAGAACAGGCAGAGTGATATAGGACTTGGTGGATGGAAAGAACTCTGCCATTCATATTTCTGAAGCTATATTTGGAAGCCAAGTATAAGACATTACATTTAACTTTATTAAATTTCATACTGTCTAATTTTCCCAGAGATTTCTATTAAGAATAAGTGATTGCATCACAGCCAAAATTCCATCATCAATACCTCAAAACTATAAGAGGGGCAGCTAGGTGGCGCAGTGGATAGAGCACCGGCCCTGGATTCAGGAGGACCTGAGTTCAAATCCGGTCTCAGACACATAATACTTACTAGCTGTGTGACCCTCGGCAAGTCACTTAACCCCACTGCCTAGCCAAAAAAGAAAAACAAAGAAAAAAACTATAAGAAATGTACCTAGCAATATGATTAAAACTACCCAAAAAAGCTATTTTTAAAACTGACAAAATGTAAAGTCTATGGAAATAAAGGGAAAGACTAACAACCCAGCCAGGCCCAGTCCAACTCCACAAATAATGTGACAGATTCTAGCTGGCCTGCCTTTCCTACCTGACTGTGATGGCTTTTATCTTGAGCCCTCTAAAAAGTGACCCCATATGATCCCTCTACTCCTTAATGGGGAGTACAGGGCAGGGGAAGAGGACATGCAAGTACAAACAACTTGACCAACCTGGTGATGGAGAAGGCAAACATCATGGAAGGTGGGGAGAGAGATGGAGTCATACCTGCAAAATGGGCTAGAATAGAAGGAACTAACCCCCAAGGGGAAAGAAGTTCTTATACCTCAGTGTGATGTCTCCCCTTATACTTTCCAAAGGAAAGATATTCATTTGAACCCCATAACCCAATATCACAGCAAAGATCATTAAAGCCTCCCAAGTCCAGTTGTCAAGATGGAAGAAAACCAGAAACAACTGATGGAGACACCAAATAGTGAATGGGACTGATTCAAAATTACCTAAAACAAGAGAGAATAGGGTGAAAGGCAAGAACATCCAGAAAGAAAGAAACAATACAAGCCCAAACTCCAAATGGATAATCTAACAAGACTCACAGAGAAAAGAGAACATTGGAAAATATACTGAAAAAGAACATAATCCAATAAAAAATGGTAAAACATAATAACTGGAATATATACAATGAAATAGTAAGCAATATAAAAATTCCCCAAAACCTTTAAAAATACTGTAACATCAGTAATAAACTCCATAATGGTTCAAAAAAAAAAAGAAATAAAATACTTAAAAATAAAGAAAGAAATAAGAATAGATATCAAGCCAAGCTTGGGGAAGAAATCAAAGCTCTCAAATAATCAACAAGACAAACAAGAGATTAGACAACTTAGAGCATATGACAAAGAACTTCCTCAAAACAATATTCTGACAAAAGAATGGCTGATTTGGAATTCCAAATACAGAGGTAAAAGAAAACTTTACTGTACAAAATTGTTTCAAAAAACACAATGGAAAGACTCACACATGCTTTTTGGGTCAAAGTAAGTGACTTTGAAGATAAGATTTGCAGAAATAATTCAAGGTTAACAGGTCTCAAGAGAAAAACACATGATGAATTATTAGATTTAACCTCATGTTTTATACTGTCCAAACCTTTTTGGATCCTCTCTCAGTCATACAATAATATGCTGGCTCTCTCACCTCATTTTTTGTGATTTTCTGTGGAAGCAGGATGAAACCTATCCTCCCAGGGCAAAAGTAAGAGTAAAGTATGGAAGTTATAGAGTGGAAGATTTAAACTAGATGTGAAACTCTCTATAAATTAAAACTTTCCAAAAGTAGAATGAGTTGTTTTAAATGGTAGGTTGGTCTTCCCTCACTTGACGCCTGCAAGTAAAGGTTTGATGGCTTGTTGTTGTTTTGTTGTTTGTTGTTGTTGTTCAGTAGTTCAGTCCTGTCGGACTCTGTAACTCCATATGAGATTATCGTCTAATGAGAATGAAAGGCAAAACATGGAGTTACTTTGGCACCCTCAAAACATTAAGAAAAACAGTATGTGATGAATGAAAAACCTGAGAGACAGTTTCTGGGTGACTAGCAATCAATTAATTAATTAGGCCAGCCATCAATCAATAACTTGATGGTCAGTGGTTTTCTCAGTAACCATAGACAAAAGATATGAGAGACTGAAAGCTTTAAATAATCCTTGAAAGGGAATTCCCTTGACCACTGAAAATCAACCCTGATTGGTGGACTTTTAATGAAGAGGTGGGCTAGAAGTCTTCACTCCTCCTGCTAAGAACATAGCTTGATCATGAGACTCAGCCACTTCCAGCAATTTGGACAGGGGAATATATCTCCATCCAGTCTACCCAGTTGGTTTTCTCTGTCATAAGCTGGGTCACCTCAACTCTAATCAAGGGTTAAAAGAATAGGGGCTCTTTTTCCTCAGGGTTAAGAACTCACCTAGACTGGATTCTGTTTACATTCTAAACAGAAGTAAGATCTCTTTGTCGGGAAGGGTCTAGCCCAAGTTTGAAGAGCATGTTCCCTAAGGGTTAGGGGTAATCTCAAACAGTCAAGTCTTTCAGAGGCTGACCTTCCACAGGAGCTGGGCCTCAATGAAGAAACAGAGGAGAAAAGCTTGGATACCAATTTTGAAATTGGTTATTAATATAATAGTGAAATAATAATTTCTCTCAAGTACAAGGCCTCCAGCATTTGAGAGGATCCTCAAAGGAGGATTTATTGAAGACCATAAATAAGAATCACAGAGAATGAAAAAGTTTAGGTAGCTGAGATCTTAGTTTTATACTTTTATATTCCCCAAACCTAACCTAGTGAACTATACAAAATAAGTATACAGTCACTATTTATGGCTGATAACTTATCAATGTATCAAGTATTTGTGATTTCATAAGTATGAGAATTTATTCTACTTGCAGAGGTCTCAACTCATTTACAAATTACAATGTTTAAGAATTTCCTGAATTTCAGAGAGGTTAAGTGATTTTTCTATGCCATGATCATTCAGCTAGTAAGCATCAGAGGTAGTTTTTGAACCCATATTTTCCCATATTCTCAAAGAGTACGGAACAGAGGAAAAAGCAGTGGATATAAAGGAGGAAGACCTGGGTATTAACCTAAGTTCTCCCATTTACTACTTTAGTAACTATAGGCAAGCTACCCTTTCTGGACCTCAGTTTTCTTATCTTTAAAATGTTGAACCAGATGACCAATAACTGTCCTTTCCAGCTCTAGAACTAATATTCTGACTCCAAATCCATCATTCCATTCACTTTATCACTTTACATGATCTCATTTGAGCTCATTTGTTGATGATGATAATGATAAAAACTAACCTAAAGATTCCTATTCCTTCAGAAATATAGGACTCAGAAGAGTGGGTATATTGTGGAAGTGACTAACTTTGATTCTTATTCTTCCTATAAAAATATGGATTGTACAAACTAGATGAGTACAGAAAAGACTTAAAAGTGAAGATGTTGAGACTAGACTCTAAAAAAAGATATGACTGTACCTAAAGATAGAATAGAATGGAATGGAAATACTTTAAGTTCTTACTATGAGCCAAAAATGCTGCTAAGAAACAATCCACATATTTCCTTCTCATAAGGAGATTACATTCAAGTTGAGGAAGACCACACATAAAAATGACCAATTGTAAGTGTGCCTACTCATTTTATGTGAACAATGGTCTGAGGTGTTAAGTTAGGTTCTATCATTTGCACTTTATCTTTCACAGCATTATCTGTATATAGTTAAAAGCCTTTATCTAAAGAAGATTTGGCATTAAGAAAAACTGGACACAGAACTCCATCAATAATTGACTAAACTTAGACATAGAGCCTTGAGGACATTCCTAACTTAGAATAACTAGATTCAGGGAGTGCCGTCAGCTCATAGATTTTATAGCTAGAAAGGACCTTTGCAGATGAAGAAATGAAAAAACTGAGGCCCAGGGTGGTTACTTGCTGGTAGGTGGCAGAACCAAAATTCTGCTCCTACTTATGTCCTGTGAACAGAGGGGAGGATGTGATGAAAACTTCTTGACTGAGTCTACTACAAATTTATG